CCTCTTCGACCTGTTTGTTTCCTCTCCACCTATCCTCTCCTCTATCCCTCTTCTATCCGCCTCCCACTCTCTCCCTATTTATTTCAAAACCCCCTTCCCCTCCCCCTTTTCTGATGAAGGGTCTAGGCCCGAAACGTCAGCCTCTCTGCTCCTATGATGCTGCTTGGCCTGCTGTGTTCATCCAGCACCACACTGTAGTCTGCAGCTGTGCATTGTTTAAACTGTAAAACAGATCTAGTTTGGTGCAAAAGAAACTGTTTGCTTATACACTTGGATATTAAAGATACAGCGCTACGGTTGGAAGAGCAAGACATTACTCTGACATGCTGTCGACTAGTTGTGCCTCAATCAGTTGAACAATTAAAATAAAAAACAACAGTCCAGAATTACTTTTTTTAATTTCAATTATACACATACTTACTCATCAAGCTCTGGGAAATTCCTGTACACTAGGTACATTACAAAAGCAGCTGAGAGGAAGGTAGAAAGAAGAATTAAGATAGACATCCGGGCTGATCCTTCTTCCAATGATGTTGTCCCTTAAAACACAAAATAGTGGTCATTAGTAGAAAAATTCAGGACCATTAGAATTAACTAGCCTTAAAGGGATAACATCTGTGACAACTCCATTCCATTCCACATGTGCTCTACTTGAAGGCAGGTGCTTGGCACATTGTCTGCTGATGATTCACTTCAAGCCATGTTCCTCAGCAGTTTTTGTCATTGCTAGTTTACCTTTGCCTTCCATATGGAAGGGTAGGGCGAGGAGGCAGGTCCCATTGCCACCCAAGCCTGACCAAAACCAAACCTGCACTGTTGACATTATTCGGAAGCACATCTTAACCATCTAGACGACCAAATTTGATATTGATTTCAAGTTCTTTTCAGTGTGGCAAGCTTTCATTTTCTACTTTGCGCACTTCACCTTGGTTCAATCCACTGATTAACTACTTTAAAAATTGTTGTTGCCTGCCATATTTCTCATCAGGATATCCTTCCTTCATTCTTTCACAAGTCTTTACATTGCAATCACATTTTCCATCACATCTTCCCTTAACAACTCAACTTTGAACTTAGTCTCCTCAATTTCTCCATACTCACCACCTTATCCTCATTCTTCCTTTATTCATTCATTAATGCCCTTTTGAGGGCATCGCTGCTATATAGCATTTATTGCCCATTCCTAATTGCCCAGTGCAGTTAAGAATCAACCACATTGCTGTTGGTCTGGAGTGACATGTAGGCCAGACCAGGTAAGGATGGCAGTTTCCTTCCTAATGGACATTGGCGAACCAGACGGGTTTTTCCAACAATCGACAATGGATTCGTGGTCATCATTAGATTCTTAATTCCAGATTTTTTTTACTGATTTTAAAGTCCACCATCTCCCATGGCAGGATTCGAACCCGGGTCCCCAGGACATTACCTGGGTCTCTGGATTAACAGTCCAGCAATAACACCACAATGCCATTGCCTCCCCTACAACTACTTCAGCCGCTCTAATCTTATACCATCTTTATTATGAACATCTCCAAGCACAGATTTAAGTGTACAACCGGTTTAAGCATTCATCACCAGAGCTTCACTCACCTCAGCCAAATCACCCACTAATCCGGAATCATGAGAAAACATAGCTTGGAAGAGAAAAAAGGCAAGTGGTTAACTATTGCCTTTAAACCCTCTCACTGACCCCCACCACCCCCATCCTCATATCTGAGAAATGCAAAGTTTTCATTTATATATTTGCCTTTACAATTCAGATATCTGTTCAACTATTTTTCAATCCATGCTTAGGAAATGGGCACCAATGGTAAGGATTGTATTTACTATCAGTCTTGAGAAGGCAGTGGTTGATCTTCTTGAACTGTTTCCACGCATACCTAACTGTAGGCAAAGTATCTTGTCCAAGGGCTTCTGTTCCAACAATAATAGTCCTTCTTTGCCCATTTTCAATCATAGTAGCACTCTCTGCTCCAAGTCAGAAAGCTGTGAGCTTAAGATCCACTACAGAGTTGTGCACTCGTTATGGATGAGACCAAACCAAGGAGATAGCCTAGACACTAACTTTTATCTTATTTAAAGGCAAGTGTAAGGTGCTGCGTTTGAGAGATGATTCGATTAATCAAACTACTTGGTTTAAGCAAAACACACTTTATTCTTACACCGCAGTTAAAATGCAAACAAAGAATTGGCATAATTTTAACTTTACTGAAATACTGAAAAAAATAATATATTATTTAACAACTGCCAATCAACTGTTCCCATATAGCAGTGTTCCACAAACACACCCTAACTTCAGCAAAATAGATTTCCTTCATTTGTTGTTTCCTCCAGTCCAGAAGGAGCATCAACAGAATGAATTTAGCAACAGGGAGAGAACTTAAGTTTTTGCAGCAGCAGAGAAACAGTTGTATCTAACAGCCTCAACTCAAACACCAACTTCAACAACTGAAAGCAAACTAAAATCCTGGGTCTGTGTGAGCCTGACTCCATTCACTCATGTTCCTTTTGTCTAATTTTCAAAAAAAGCCCAAAGCTATTTACACTGCTTTCAATGGAGCAGACACCTCATCACCAGGCTTACAACACCTCTGATCAAGAGAAACACAACAGAACAATCCCTCAAAGGCAGATTTCATCACAGCACAAAAATCTAAGCTGTCATGACACTGAAGTACTATGGGAGTAACTACACTGCTAGAGATACAATCTTTCTGATAACATATTAAACGGAGGTCTGGCTCGTACTCCCAGGTGGGCATAACAATCCGTTAATACTCTTTGAAGAAGAGCAAGGAAATTGTCAACAGTGCCCTGGTCAATATTTATTCCTCAATCCTGGTTACAACATACTGCCATCCTTTCATTGATGAATCGGTACTCCTCCATGTTAAGTAACACTTGGAGGAAGCACTGAGGGTGGCAAGGGTGTAAAATATATTCTGGGTGGGGATTTCAACGTCCACCACCAACAGTGGCTCGGCAGCAGCACTACTAATTGAGCTGGTCAGGTCCTAAAGGGCATAGCTTCTAGCCTGGGTCTGCAGCAGCTAGTGAGGGAACCTATGAGAGGGAGAAAACTTACTTGATCTCACCCTTACCAAACTGCCAGCTGCAGATACATCTGTCCAAAACAATATCCATAAGAGTCACCACTGCACAGTCCTTGTGAAAACAAAGTCTCAATTTCACATTGAAAATAATCTCCAATGTGTTGTGTGGCACTATCACCATGCGAAATGGGACAGACTTCAAACAGATCTAACAACTCAAGACCGGGCATCCATGAGGCACTGGTGGCCATTAACAGCAGCAGAACTGTACTCCAGCATGATCTGCAACTCAAAGGTCAGAGTGGGAATGTTTGTTGATGATCGTACAATGTTCAGCGCCATTTGTGACTCCTCAGATACTGAACCAGTTCATGTTCAAGCACAACAACATCTGGACAATATCGAGGCTTGGGCTGGCAAATGGCAAGTAACATTTGTAGAACCTAAATGCCAGGCTATGACCATCATCAATAAGATTCAATCTAACCATCACTCCCTGATATTCAATGGTGTTACCATCACTGAATCCCCCACTATTAACATCCTTCGGGTTACCATTGACCCTAAGCTCAACTGGTCTTGCCACATAAACACGTTGGCTACAACAGATCAGAGGCCAGAAATGCTGTGGCAAGTAACTCACCTCCTGACTACTCGAAGCCTTTCTACCACCTACAAGGCACAAATCAGGAGTGTGATGGAATACTCTCCACCTGTCTGGATGGGTGCAGTTCCAACAACCTTCAGGAAGCTTGACACCAATCAGGACAAAGCAATGTGCTTGACTGGGACCACATCCACAAACATCCACTTCGTCCATTGATGCTCAGTAGCAGCAGTGTAGACTATCGACAAGACGTATTGCAGAAATCTAAAGATTCTTAGACAACACCTTCCAAACCTACAGCCACTTCCATCTAGAAGGACAAAGGCTGCAGGTTTATGGGTACACCACCAACTATAAGGTCCCCTCCAAGTCATTCACCATCCAGACTTAGAAATACGATACCGTTCCTTCACCGTCACTGGGTCAAAATCCTGGAATTCCCTCCCAAATGGCATTATGGGTTAACCCACAGCAGGTGGATTGCAGTAGCTCACCACAACCTTCTCAACGGCAAATAGTGACAGGCAAAAATATTGGCTAGGCAACAACATGTGAATTTTTTAAAAAAATTAACATTGCAAGAACAGATGACCTGTAGATTATCAAGATATTATTTGTCAGACCATGCTCCTACAAAGTAGTTATTGCATTTTACACATGAAACAATTACTGGGGGACTCAATTACTAGGGGTCACGATTTCAAGGTGAGAGGGGAAAAGTTTAAGGGAGATATGCGTGGAAAGTTCTTTACGCAGAGAGCGGTGGGTGCCTGGAACGCGTTGGCAGCGGAGGTGGTAGAGGCGTGCACGATAGCGTCATTTAAGATGCATCTAGACAGATACATGAATGGGCAGGGAGCAGAGGGATACAGATCCTTGGAAAATAGGCGACAGGTTTAGATAGAGGATCTGGATCAGCGCAGGCTTGGAGGGCCGAAGGGCCTGTTCCCGTGCTGTAATTTTCTTTGTTCTTACTTTAAACATACAGTACTTAACATGCTACATCTGAAGGTCGATATCTGATGACTTTTAAATGCATGCCTTTCTTTCTTCTTTCCTCTGTTCATACTGCTCTTCCGCAACATAATTCGATGACGTGGGGTAAGCCTTCAAATGTTCGCAGAGCAACATCAAACTCACAACCACACATCTCCTGACCACTGTATTATCAGACTGTTTGCATCTATTTCAGTTAAACAACAGGAAGATCTGCTCCAATGATGCTGCTTGGCCTGCTGTGTTCATCCAGCTCTGCACCTTGTTTTCTCGGAAGATCAGAGCCATCATTTTTACAGCCATTACCATAAACTGCATAGACTTGTCACAGTTTTCTTTTTGACTCCAAACCCAGAAAAAAAAGATCTACTTCGTAACTTTTCTCATCTTCGCCCCTTGTCTCAGCCAAACCACTGATGAAACTCACTCAAACCTTAGAAACCTCATCTCGATGATTCAAATTCTCTCCACCCCTCGTTCCGACCAGAAAAATATCTTCTCGGCGAACTCTGAGCTCTATGTGCAAGCAGCTGGGATTAATTTAGAATAGCATCATGGTCGGCACAAACATCTTGGGCCGAAGGGTCTGTTCCGGTGTTGTATGATCCTATCTTATGTTGTATATTCACCCTCATAACACGATAATGGCAACTTCTCTCCCCTGGACACGATTCTTCCCCACCCTCGTTACCTTTAGTAGTTTCGCTGTTCACCGTTTTTTCTTGGGCAGCATTATTCACACCGGATCGCCTCACGACTACACCACTATTCTTCGTGGCCATTTCTCTGCACCGTAAAGAACAAATGAACAAACCGGCGAGAGAAAACGCCGGTCACAGTCCAGTCCCTCTGCACTTTCACCTTCAGACAACAATGCGCATGTGCAAGGGTAAAGACCATCCATGCAACGACCGCGTCAAGACCTCTAGCGCCGCTGCGGACTGGCGGTGCAACTACATGTGCAGGGTCCCCACGCTATCTCCAATTAGAAAAAAAATTATGTATTTATGTAGTTTATTTATATAATGGTATGTTTTATATTATAAAGAATTAATTAAATATTTGGAATCATCCGAAAATGCTGGCGTCCAAACCTAACCCCTAACTTCCTCAGAGATAGTAAGAACCTGGCAAGTTTTGCTAAACTTGATATATTGAATCCTTATTTGACTCTTTGGACCCATGGTTATTAATGAAATATATTCATATTAATAAGACACCAGGTCGGTGAACACATGTACAACGCAACAAGAAATCGTCTTTAGAAGAGGAATGGGAGGAGTACAGTGTTGAGGCAGGACAAATTTTCCTTGCGACAGCTCGGAATTTTTGAATGTAAATTGGTTTAACAATTTAAATCATTTTCAACAGCAAAAAAACTGCCAAATGACTTGATCAAATCAACTCTTTTGATTCTGTATATTCAAGTTATGGAATCCATCATGATCTAGGCAAATTTGGAAATATATGACACATGCCCACTCCCAAGACAAGGAAGCCTGCAGGTACGTCTCAGATTTTTAACGTCCTATAACCATACATATTAAATATTTCCAACAACGTGGTATCATTAAGAGAACCCTTAAGGAACGATGCCCCTTATGTATAGTACGAGGACAGCAGCATGTGTTTGAATCACTCAAACAAATACTGTCAGCGCATGCTGTTCAAGAATATTCAGACAATTCTGGAAGTTAATGCATCCCAGAAAGGGCTGGAAATATATATTATGCAAGATGACAAGCCAATTGCATTTGGGTCTAAAAGTCTATTGGAAAACAGAATCCAATTATTGAAAATTAGATCACAAAACACTTGTTCTAGTGTTTGGTATCACAATCACATACATAGCTATTGGTTCACTATGGAAACTGACCACTGTATGCCACCTAGACTAAACAAAAAGGCAGTTTTGTTATTGTTTTAAGAGCTGACTATGGTCATGAGTTAAGGACTAGGATGACAGCAGGTGACTAGCAGTCATGAAGTGTTAGCTTACTAGGTGAACGACATGTACAGAAGTGGCTCTGAAACTGTAAGTTATCTTTGAAAATACTAGGAGTGCATCATGCAAGCTAGCAAACCAATTGCATTTGGATCCAATAGTCTGTCACAAGGGTAATCCAATTATGCCAAGATAGAGCATCGAAAATTTGCACTAATATTCAGTATCATGACATTTCATTTGTACCTGTTTGGTAAGCTCTTTACTGTGAATACTAATCACAAACCATTGTAAATGATATGGAAAAAACTGCTGCCACTATTATAAAGTTTATAAAAACTTTGAGTAAGAGTACAAGGGAATTTTGATGTCTGTCGCTTACTTTGTAGAATTGAAACAGATGCATATTATTTCTGTTTGCAAAAAACAGGATCTTGCGTTTTCAGATATGTAGCTTCCAGGATATGCCATCTGATAATGCAATAAGTCAGAAATATTACTTCAATAGCACCTCTCTCCTTTCAATTTCTGCCACTAAGACATTAGTAATGTAATGGAAATTATTACATCCAGTCTCCCATCCAAGCATACAATCATGTATTGACCATCTGTTCCCCTTTTTACATCATTGTTGGGTTGATGTAATTGTTTTATAATTATTACCATTTTGGGAACAACATCATGAATGGACACCAGTAGTTCAAGGTAAAGACACACTACCAGCACTTTTGAAGGCAAATCAGGAATTTTAAAACAAAAGTCAGAGCACCAGAGGAAAACAAAATGATTTTTGCATGTCTTGATACTTCTTTCTTCACCATGTCAGTCAAAGAATCCTGTTGTGTGTTTGTTAGACATGATCTGCCTTGCACAATATTATGCTGATGTACACCCAATAATAAAGTTCTACAAGTGCTGACTTATTCTTTATTAAATCTAGTGATTTTCCCATCGCTGATATTAAATTCACTTGTCTGTAGTTACTGAACTTGGCTTGTTTCCTTTGTGATTAATAGTGTCAGGATTCGAATTGGAGTTTGGAAGCAGGAATGTCTTGCTATAACTGTACAGGGCATTGGTAAGACCACGTCTGGAGTTTTGTGCAGTTTTAGTGTCCTTGTCTGTGGCAGGATATTCTGGAATATGGCTATTGAAGGTGTGCAAAGAAGGTTTATCAGACTGATTCCTGGAATGGCAGGACTGATATACGTGGACAGGCTGAATTGATTAGCACTATATTCATGAGAGTTTACAAGAATGAGAAATATTACAGATATAAATAACCTTATAGAAACGTATAAAATTCTAATTGGATTAGACAGGGTAGATGCAGGAAAGATATTCTTGTTAACCAAGGAGTGCAGAACCATGGGTCACAGACTAAGGATAACAAGTAGGCACTTTAGGACAGAGATGAGTGGGAATTTCTTCACCCAGAGAATGATGAACCTGTGGAACGCTCTGTCACAGGAAACTGTTGAGGCCAAAACATTGAAGACTTTAATGAAAGATGCAGATATAGTTCTTAGGACTAAAGGGATCAAAGGATGTGGGGAGAAAGTGGGAAGAGGGAGTTGGATGATCAGCCGTGATCACATTGAATGGTGGAGCAGGCTCAAAGGATCAAATGGCTGACCCTTGCCCCTATATTCTGTGTTTCTATGTTTTAGTTCGGAAGAACAGAGTTGTGATGGTGTATGCATACAGAAATTTCACCTGACTCCAGCCTGCCCCTGGATTACCACAAACCCAATGATCATCTGGTGTTTTAGTTTAGATCACGTACACAAATAAAGTAGATTCCTTAAAGAATGAGCTTGGGGGTCAGGCATGAAATGGGTTTGCCATTTAGTTATGGATATTGTATCTAAGCTCCCCTTTCGTATTTTATACCTATTTTGTTAACATAAAATTTAATATCGAGGATTTATATCATTCCCAAATATTAAAATAGTATTATATTTGTATATTCAATTCTATATCAGTGTTTTCTTTTGTATTTGTCCACAAAAGTTAATCATTTCAGCTGCTTGTAGTAATGCTTTTGACTCTGAGTAAGATTGTTGTGGTTTCAAACTCCAGACACTTCAGCATTAAAGCCACACTGATACGCCAGTGCAATACTGGGTTCAGAACCGTTGTGAGATATGTCCCATGCAGAGCAAAACGTTGATAACTATCTTCCAGCACAGCGCATTGGTAAATAAACTGTAGGTGTACCACCAATTCAGAATTGAGGGGGTCTTAAAGGACATCAGGCCCTTTAAGAGGCATAAAGCTGCAATATCAAAAACATTTCATGAAATTTCACTGAACATCTCACATCCCACACACTAGTAGGAAGCAAGTTGTAAGAGGTGCCCATCTCATTACCAGTCCTCGTTAGGCTTTGTGTTCATCTCATCACACAGCACATTCACCATAGGATGAATAAGGTTGCAAATTAATGTTTCATCAGAAAACTAATATCTCTGATACTGTATATCTATCTATGCATTTCACTGAAGTTTTAGCCTAAATAATGCTTGTCCAACAGGCTGCCCACAGCCAGGATCCTTTGTGATCCAAAGAATCTGTGTTTAAAATCCAGTTAAGAGTAATTCGAAGATTTTGAATGGAGCTGCGCCTCCAGAGCCCATTTCCCTTCCATATTTGTTGCTGACAGATCAAGATTTATTAGCAAGTCATGGCACTATGGTGTGTGTGCATGTGTGGAAGGGGATGGATAATGAGGGTCGTCTGTTGGTTAGCAGGAACATTATCAGACGATTAGCAGCTATTTGTTTATCTCACTTCCCAGGCAATGAGTGATGAGGAGAATTCTGACAGCCTAGGAGGGAATTTTAACATAGTGGGACCAGCTTTGGACATGCTTCCAGCCACAAGGAACTAAACTTAAACACTCTTAAGTTCAATTATTGGCCATATTTCCAGGCCATCCATGGTTTACCAATGCAGCTTGATCTTCTGAAAAGGCAAGGAGCAGACTTCCAGCAGCAGAAGAAGTTTTTTTTCATTCAAAAAGGCGTTTGCATGCAGGGAAACAGGCTTTGTGACCCCAGAAATGAATGCTGAAGAAACAGGGAGGTAATGGGAAGTGCAATTGCAGCATTAGCATGACCTGGGACAGGCAGCTGGCTGGGGGTGAATGATTGATTGGCTGGTGAGTGAGCAAGACATATAGCCAGTGTTCACATCCTCTTCCTTCCTCAAAAACCTATCTGCATAGCAGGTTTAGAGATTAGGAAACCCTAGCAACCAGCTTTCTTCATGCACCTTTGTGCAATTACCACCAAAGCCAGCTCACAATGTGCGTTACTGGCTGCGAACCAAGATTAGTCACTCGGAGAGAGCTAGAAGTGCAGATGCTGGAGTCAGAGTCGATGCAGTGTGGAGCTGAAGGAACGCAGCTGGTCAGGCAGCATCAGAGGAGCAGGAGAGTCGACGTTTCGGGCCTAGACCCTTCATCAGGACTGGTGAACCTTGATCTGTCAGCAACAACCCTTCCTCAGAATGGTTCTGCAGAAAGGTCACCAGACCTGAAACTTTAACTCTGATCTTTCCTCACAGATGCTGCCAGACCTGCTGGGCTTTTCCAGCAACTGCTGTTTGTTTTCTTTCCCCATGCTGCTTGCCACTTTGAAATGAACGATTAAAACAAAAACTTATAATTATCAATTTCTTTGGAATTCTGTTTTCCCCTGAAATTCACATTTACTGTTGTGGATAACCTTATCTTGCTGGAATCCCACAAGAAGGCTGAACAACCCTAACCTGCATTATGTGATCGAACTCCGAATTAACTTTTGAATGAATTAGTTTCTTCACTGCTACCACTGAGTCAATGGTGACACAAATGTAGCTGGAAACATAGAAAATAATGTAATTAAATGTGAGTTTTTATCATATGTCAAATGAATAAATAACTGCAGTTTTGTATGACTTTTGACAGCCAGGACAAGGGCAATTAGAAACTTAGTTTTGGTTTACTTAAATTCGTTCCTCAACTCTGTATTGGGTGTACGGCCAATACATACAAATATCAAGCCACATCTCTCATTTCAAAGAGAAGCAACCAACACTTTATTCGTGGCCACCATTTTTACTTAGAAATGGTTAATTCTCTCCACCAGGCACGCACTGTGTCTCATCACAATGTGGCACTGCAGAAACTCTTCTCAAAGAGAAGAGTTTGACTTTGAGGCTTCTTCTCAAATATGCTGTGTTTGGACTGTACGCTGTTCTGAACAGTCAACTTTGGTTTCCAGGTTCGCACCATTCTGACTTGGAAATATATTGCCATTGCTTCGCCAATGTTGGCCCAAAATCCTGAAACTCTATATTTAAAAATATTGTGTGTATCTTCACTACTTGTACTGTAGCGGTTCAAGGGACTGGTTCAACCCCTTCTTCCTAGGGGCAGTTGGAGATAGGTGATGGATGCTGGTCTTGGCAGCAATGACCCACATCCCTAAGAATTAATCTAAGCCAGTTTATTCAACTATCAAAACTCAACAAGGAGTTTAATCCAATAATATCATCGGTAGATTTCAATACATTTCCCAGCAGGAGCCGCTCCACTTCATATTAAAAATAAGAGGCAAACTTTGGCCAATTGTCACAAGTCTAATCAAGTGGGTTTTAATGAGAAATTGATCAGGGTGTGAGTAAATTTTTTTGGCTGGTATCAACCCAGTCGTGATAAAGTAGTAACAAGTCTACGTGGAAATCGCGACTTGCAGATGACAATTTCCACTCGTGTCGGGGAGAACTACATTTCCCAGGTGGCCCTGCGCGGGCAGGTTGTGTTGGTTGGCGGAAGCGGAAGGTGGTGAGCGGGCCGGCCGGCCGGCTGATGACGGGAAGTCTTGCGCTGGTGTATCCGGGCTCGGCGCGCGACGCTCTTCCTTTGGCGCCGGCTGCTGTTGAAGCGCAGCTTCCATGTGCGCATCGGCCGCTCGCTGAGAGGCGGCCCAGCAACCACCAGACCCGGTTATATAATTCAAAAATAAATTGAGAGAAGGGGAAAAGGCCAGACTTCTTATTTTTTAATCAAACGTCGATTGTCTTCGAGAGCGCGGCGGAGAAACTTCCAATGGATCCAACTAAAATTATCGAGGCCCTGAGGGGCACCATGGACCCTGCGCTGAGGGAGGCGGCTGAGCGACAGCTCAACGAGGTAACAGAATTAATTGTAGCCCAGGCCTTTTTAGGTGTTGACGTGCGTCGAAGAGTGAAATCCCAAAACTCAGGGCCGCTGGTGGCCGGGCCTCCCCTCGCCTTTAGCGCCGTGTCCGCTCCAGGGCCGCCTGCTGCCAGCGGACATGTTAGTGTTTTGCGTTTCTCACGCCTAACATCGCACGTAACGGTTCCCAATGTTCTTGGAGCCAATATAATGACCTCTACCCCTCACACTCAGAATATTACTCTCTCCTGACTAGTCATGTTAGACTGATAGTTAATGCGTCCGCCTGAGTTTGTATCCTTGCCAGGCGACTAATGTCGAGCTTTTTTTGTTCATGCATCAAGTAGATTGCGAACTTTATGATGTGTGCAGAGCGGGAATGCGGGTAAAATATTCATCTCTGGGCCATAGAAGCACAACCCCTCATCGTTCTAATTTGTAAAGCTAATGCAATTGTGACTCGTGTTCAAGTATAATGTTCTTTTCTCAAAAGTTCAAAATCTATTTTAAGCGTGTTTTAACCTTGTTTATATCTTAAATTCTCCCCCTCCTGCCCCCCAACCGTATTTTTGTTCCGCTTTAACTATTGCAAAATCGTGTCTGACAGGGGGCTTTAGAATATGATTCTTTGTTTTGCGAGTAGGGGATGCATGGAACTTGGTATGACCTCCGCACTGATTTTAAAAAGCGCTAGTCTTCAGCGATAATGTTGGCACGCGTGTCACCGACCTTATGGCAGGGGATGGAACAAATGGAAAATCTCAATTTGCGTAGACCTGGTTGAGAATGCGACAATTAATTTGTCACAAAACGATTCCTGTATATTTTGCTACTACACTTGAGAAAGCTGGATTTCAATATTCAAGTAATTTTTTTTAATAAACTCCAACTTGATAATGTTAACTATGCCAGCAGATTTGTTTTGTTCCTGATAACTTTTGTATATAATGGAGGACAGTTTTCCAGAGTTCTTCATTGTCATGTCTATTCTGTTCTCAATACACTGTTCTCAATAAACTTAGGAAAGTTGTAATGTTTGGAGATAACCTTTTTCTCCACTTTGCTACTTTTCTCCATTCTTTTGCAAAGGTGTTTTATTCTGTCGTTGATGCTGTCCTCTTTTGGTACTTGTTCAAGCAGCTGTTCAACAATTGAAGCCTTCACAGTGAATGCTTGTTGATTATTGTACCATGGGGTATCTATCTTTTTAATGGGATCAGGTAGCAAGTGCGATAACCTTAACACAGTATTTGTATGAACCTTGACAGTGAGAGCCTACAAGCATCAGATGTTTCCTATCTGTAGTGACAAGGGGTAGGAGCCTTGAAATTTTTCCCTTTCCTCTTAAGTTCTTTGTTCCTACTCTGCCTGTATGTTGATTCAAGGTTTTGATAAAAGTTATGATATTAAACTAGGCCCCAGCATATGATGTCACCGTTTTGAATGAAGTGTTTATACGCTTGGTGTAAATGCTACAGCATTTAGTTTTTGACTCTCGACTTCGGAACATTGAGTCTTACTTTCATTATCCACCCTATTGTACATCTGGGTATTTGGAACCGTTGTTTTGAGTCTGACCTGAAACCATAACTATCTGACCTGTGTTCTGCTTTGCCTTGAGTTTTCCACAAAGAATGGAGTGTCTTTTCTGGAACAGTTGTAATTTGATTTCTATCATCATTGATTTCTGAAAAATATTTTCACATTATATGGCTATGCTGCCAGCTTCATGAGCCAGTAAAATCAAAATATGCAGTGGAATACCTTTTCAAAACAAAATAAAATAAATCTTCTGAGAATCTGGGACAGGAACTAAAATAATTTCATGTCCTCTGTTAAAGCATGAATCAGTGGAAACATTTGTCAAATTAGTATGATGCCACATGTGGTGGGTATTTCTGCTTTTATTTTTCCACAAGATATTTAGGAAGGCAATGATAAGTGGTTCACGAACTTCTCCAGCTCTAAGAGCCGTTTAACTTAGGACAAAGATTCCATGATAGCAGCAAATTGGCTAAAGCAGGCCCATAAAACTCTATCCTAATTTTCATTTGCAGCAATAATTTAACTTTTTAAGATTAACTATTTAGGTTAATTGTACTCGTGATTGCTGTACCTATATGGGACTGAGTTGGAAGTGTCTGCTCAAGGAACCAGACATAGTGCAGTGTATGTTAAGCTGAAAATGACAAATCTTTCTCCACCCCCCCATTTCCAGATATAATCCCACAGTATTTTGACAGTTGTCATCCGTGTCTACGGATTTACTGAAAGTGCATTTTGCAAGAATTATGTTCTGAAGGATTAGACTTTTTAAAAAAAAAAAAACATGTTGAGTATGGAGATTGATTTCAGCAAGTTCGTACTTCAGCTATGATGTCTTTTACAAACCAAATTCCAATATGGTTTTTGGTTTTCCATGGCGCTATTTCTCTAAGATCCACATATCTGTGGGTATGCACTTACAATTTGTCTCTTCAGTTTATTTCTATTCTTATTAATCTGCATGTAATGCCTCAATTTTTCAGACTTGTAAAGAGTCTGCACCTTGAAGATTAACTTGTTTGCTTTCTGCGCAGGTGCTGGCTGATGTGATTCTAGCATTTTCTGCTTCAGGTCCAGTCTACTATAGTTTGCTTTTAGATTAATTTGGTCCTGGTATAGCTGGCCTCAAGCAATATACTATTTACATTGAGTACTGATTGAACTTGATATTTGCTGTTCAGAAACCCCTTTTACGCAGTGTGGGTAGCATCTGAAGAATGTTGTCCATTGTTGAATAGTTCGCTAATATTTATGCATAATTAATGACCACTTGACAGTGCGTGAGATCTGATTGTTGTAAAACATTCTCTAACGAGGATTAGCACCTTTTAAGTGAAAAAAGAAAACTGGATGTGCAACTACCAACACTTCAAGGAGTTTGTTTCTAACATTTTGCACAGGAGAAAGTTGTCATTGCATTGAGAGAAATCAAGAACTTATATTGGATGATTGAGTGTTGCACATTGCACACTGTTCTTTCATCCCTTGAAATGTTCATCTCAAAATAAACTGGGAGGGAAATAACTTGGCAGTGAAAATCCTGTGTGAAATGAGTTTGCACAATAGCAGTCTAGATCTTGGGAAGGAATTTGTAGTATGTAAAGCGTTTGACAAAGTTCCACATGGTAGCCTGGTTAGTAAGGTGGATCACATGGGATCTGTGGGAAGCTAGCCAACTGGATACCAAATCGGCTTGAAGGTAGGAGATACAGGGTTGTAGTAGAGAGTTGCTTTTTAGACTGGAAGCCTATGACCAGTGGTGTGCCACAAGGATCAGTGCTGGCTGTACTGCTTTTGTCATTTCTATAATTGATTTGGATGTGAATTTAGGAGGCATGGTTAGTAAGTTTGCAGATGACACCAAAATAGGTGGTGTATTGGACAGTGAAGGTGATTGTCTGAGTATTGATCAGATGGGCAATGGGCCAGCGAGTGGCAGATGTAGTTTAAGTTAGATAAATGAGGTGTTGCGTTTTGGTAAGGCAAGACTTGTACAAATAATGGTTGGGTCCTGAAGTGTGTTTCCAAACACGCAGACCTAGGGGTACAGGTGCGTAGTGCCTTGAAAATGGAATCGCAGGTAGACAGGGTGGTGAAGGCTTCATTTTTGGACCTGAGGAGTAACTTTTTCACGCAGAAGGTGGTACGTGTATGGAATGAGTCGCCAGAGGAAGTGATGGAGGCGGGTCCAAGTTCAACATTTAAAGGCATCTGGATTGGTATATGAATAGGAACAGGTATATGAATAGGCCAAATGCTGGCAAATGGGACTAGATCACATTGGGATGTGTGACCAGTGTAGGCAAGTTGGACCAAAGTGTCTGTTCCCGTGCTGTCAAACTCTGACTCTGTAATTGTCCAACATTCAGCAGTGAGTTGCCTCAGCTGTATTAACTAAAGTCATAACTGAAACTTGGAGGGAGAAGATTCATGCTGGTATTGCATGCATATCTAAAATTGCTATGTACTAAGGCTCTGGCACATTACAAGATGGACCAAAATAAGGGTAGCTTTGTGGTATAACTAGGCATGGTAGGAGAACTTTTTGACATCTGTTGACTGCACCAGAAATGTTTCTCATCACTGACTCCTTGCCTTAATAAGGAACTGTAATCTGTATTTAAATTTTTAAAGCAGCTGTCACTTTTTTGTGTGTGTGTATATTATATATATATATATTTAATCGATTTTTCATCTGTGTACATTACAGGCCAACAAAGCTGTTACGTTTGTATCAACTCTGCTTCAAATTACAATGTCAGACCAATTGGACTTGCCTGTGAGACAAGCAGGTAAGTGATTGTCTCAGAACATTGTACAAGACAGCTCTTGAATTAGGCCTTCCATATATGTGGTTGAATATATGCTTCCTTGATGCTGGTACATTGCTTCTAGGTGATTTTTTTTTGATGTAGCATCACTGTTTGCCACACTTAGATCTGCATGCTGTATCATTGATTAATAAATAATTTGAAAGTATGAAAATGCAAGTAAATGTCCTGCCATTCAAAACATATAAGAATTAGTGGATGGGAAAGAGAGAGGGAGGAAGAACTTTGAGACAATTCCATGTCCCACTACTTATGACATTTTGCTTTTTATCCAGCAGACTGCAATTGTGGAAAATAGACAAGTTGAAATAAGGGTGGATAAAGTAATTTAGCTAGTAACTATCAATTTTAGCTTTATTGGTTTAATATAAACATTTAACTGGCAAAATGTTACCATAACATTTTTAAGTATTCTAATTTGCCTCCTCCTTTTGCCAGCCTGCTTATTTTTTTTCAGTTTCTGTTCTAATTATGTTGTTTTATTTTTTCTCTTAAATCTGACTTCTCATTTTCAGTTGAAAAATATTATCACTTCAAGTTTCTTACATCTACCATTGTCCCCTTTTGAGTTAGCTACTTTCAAAATAAGCTCTTAACTTTCTAGCTTTTTAATTGTGTGTGATTCTCTGACACTT